CATGGCCTCCGCCCAAGTGGTGTTCACCTCCGTCTTCACCAAGTTAAGCGGGGCAAAGATCCAGGGGGGCTTTTTGAGGATGCGAATACGGTCCTGCCAAACTTTGAGCTGCTCCGACACTTTCAGGCCTCCACTCACGGCTTTTTCGTTGATGACGAGGATCGTGGCAAGCGCGTGGATCCAAGTGAACATTTCGTCGGACTGGCAGATTTTGATAATTTTGTCGCGCTTCGGCAGTGCATTCTCCTGGTCTTCCAAAGAGGGACCTGGCTCTGGATCAATCATCGCGTGAATGGTTACCGGGCCCTGGTACTTGACCCCTGCCATGGTATCAACCTCCACCGATTCCTCTCATGGTGGCGGGCCGTCGCTGGCTGCAACGTCGGAGCTGGAGTCCGACATGGTTGACCAGTTCTTCTTCTCGCCCTCAGCCTCCTGGAAAGCATTGAATCTTTGCTGATTTGGGGGGGGGGTCTGTGGGTGAAGCTGGGGAGGAGGGGGAGTAGAGTGAGTCAGTGTTAGGTGGCTCGTGTAGCTGAGGGGGCGGGGCCCTGGATTTGGGTGGAGCTGGGGCTGAGGGTGCCGACGGGGGTGCTGCTGTGGATGTGGCAGCCCGAGGCTCCGCGTTGTATGAGTGTGCAGCCCGAGGCTCCGAGGAGGGTGCGTGTCCTGGTGGGAGTGGCGGCATGCCAAGTCCAAAGCGCGCCTTGGCAATACCGGAGGCGGGGCCTTGGGGAGGAGGCTCATCCTGCATGGGGGAAGGGGGGGCTGGAGCGCCTTCAGTGGCGGCCTCTGCCGACCCCGGTGGAGGGGGGGCCGTGACCGGATTGTGAATTCCGCCGCGCGCAAAATGGTGAAGCACGCCGAGGTCATTAGGAAGCTCCAGTAGCTTGTTGCCCCGACGACAGTGGCGGCAAGATAATCCATCCCGGCTTCTCTGGGTGTAGAATCATGCCTCTTGGGATACAGCGCATGACGTCCTCAGCCGAAATGCTGCCATAGTGTTTCTCCTGCTTGACAGCTTCCATGATCTCCTCGAAGCTGTTGTTGTTGATGCTGGCCTGGACGTCGTCACTGATGAGTTCGCCCCCGGGCAGAGCCCCCTCCTGGTCAGGACCAATGACACGCCGAGCGTCCATGGCATCTGCTACCGCTTGCGGTAGACCTTGCAGCATGGTGGTAGCTCGGCGCTCGTTGGCGCGCGGGTCGCCCTTGAATCCTTTTTGCCATTCCCAGCAACGATTGTAGGCCACGGTGAACTTTTCTTTGGTGACAAAGTAGTGGCCGTCGTTGCCCATGTCACCCTTTGACTTCAACGCGTGGCTGTGCATTTCCTGCAGAAGGTAGATCGGGCCGTAAGTGGGAGAGATATTCCAGCCGATTGCTGGTTCCTGCTTCATGTCATCACGCAGAAATCTCCACAAGGCGTTGCAGAAGATCATATACTCGAGGTTGGCAACCTTGGTGAAGATCTCCTGGGAGAAGGCGTGCGCAATGGCACGCATAAATAAAGGGTGCTTGGGCTGGCCGTAGATGATGCCCTGGAAGATGTGATCCTTTTTGATGCCTATTGCCATTAGGAGAAACTCAGGGGGGAGCTTACCCACCTGAGTTGGACCGAGTCCCCGCTCCTGGCTGAGTTGTTGTTGGGCCGAGCCCCAGTCACGTGCCATCAGCTGTTGCAGGTAATCAAAGGTGACCTTGAAGCCAAATTTGATGTCAATGTACAGGCCACCGTGAGTGTAGTGGTAGATATACCTGAAGATGTCAGCGCGATGAGCTGGCTGCCTGAGGTTGGAGCACAAGTGCGCTCCATGTTCGCCAGCATGCAGAGTGAGCGTAGTGAAGAGGTCCTCGTCGTTGCAGAAGGTGCGCTGGAAGTAGAGAGCAGATTTTTGGAGACTTCCCGCGGGCCTGGCATGTTGTCGTGAATGTAGGTCTGGAAGGCCGTCTTGGGCATGGACCTGTCCTTGGCTCCTGGTTCCAGGTA